CTGATAATTCTATGTTGCAAATGAGTTATCTCATGATTATAGTTTATTAAGAAAAATTTCTTAGTGTAATCAGTATATTATCAGGGTTAACTAATTTATGTGAGTTAACTTAAACAAGAACTTAATGCTCCAATGAAGCTTATGGATAGAGATATGTCCATTTTTTTTAAAAGGACAGAATAATTCAGAGCACTTTCAAAAATGATCCAACTTTATCTTTTCTTTACTTGACTTTTTTTTTCACGATATGATAAAAATCAGGTGATCCTGGGGTATCATCTGGAGCAACCCTTGCAACTGGAGGTGGCAGTACACCTGGAGAATCAGGCACTGGAGCCACAGGTTCGGGTAAGATCAACTATGCTGGACATGATGCTTCAGTAGCTCCCAGCCAACAGCAGGGGATGGGCTGTAAAATTAGTCTGTAACTGGTATTAGAATAAGGGCTGAGGAAAAGTGGAGGGATGGTATCTTTCACTTTGTTTTTCTGAAAACTCCCAATTACTCACTGACTGTCAGGAATAACATTCACGTCTCCTTCCTTCACCTGTTCTTGGTTTCTCAGGGACAACAGGGGTTTCTGCAGGCCCCACCATGACTAGCCCTGGATCCTCAACTGTACCAGTCACAACCTTGGAAAGCAGCAAATCAGGTACTCAAAGGGAGAAATCAATGGTTGTGCAGGGAGAAATGGAGTGTTCAGAGAGGGGTAGAGTAAGGTAGAACTTAGAACTTAGAGTAAGGTCGAACTTCATTTTTGAGCAGGAGAAATTCATCTTTATAATACTCATAAAGGCAAAAAACATGCAAAGTGGAGATCAAGTTGAGAAATTTAATGACAAGTGTTGGAGTAAGAACTTGAGGGCAATCTAGTAAGGGAACTGTGTGTTCTCACATATGATTGAGAACATGCAGTATTTCTCTTTCTTGCCTGCCTTATTTCACTTGATATAATTTCCACCAAGTGTATCCATGTTGCTGTGAATGACAGAATTTTATTCTTTTTTTCATGACTGATTTAAAATTTAAGTGAATTTTAAATGACTTAAATACTTTTTGGAATGAGACATAGATTACATAATTAATGGGTTGAAACATAATCTGCATACAGCATCACAAACTAAGAAACTGGTTAATTTCAATTAGAGCAGTAAATTGATTGAAATTTCAGGGTGATGACCAGTTAGTTTCTATTTCCTAAAATGTGAATCAGAAGTACTTGGGTAATAATGACAAATCAATCAGCTATCTCTTATTGTCACCTGGCAGTATATACAGTGGTTTCAGCAGGGCTCCTCAAAGTTTGGTCCACAGACGGGTGCCATCCAGAAGTGTTTCTTACTGGTCTCTAATGTGATAAAATAATTAAATAAGAGAACAATCATTTAGAAACATGACAATCTGACACAATGGTTTTATGCCTGTTCAATGAAGACCTGTGTTTTGTATGATTTTTACCTTTTAAAATTACATTTCTCTTTACTTTTGTGGCATTTTCCAAACCACTGGTATAGGACAGATTGGAAATGTTTCAAAATTGGTCTTTGGCCACAGATGGTTTCAGAAACACTGGTTAGAGTACAAACAAACTCTGGGCTGAGAGTGCTGGAGTTTGGGTCCTGGATCAAATGTTTCAAAATTGGTCTTTGGCCACAGATGGTTTCAGAAACACTGGTTAGAGTACAAACTCTGGGCTGAGAGTGCTGGAGTTTGGGTCCTGGATGTGCTCTTTACCAAACCTGGAGCAAGCCACTTAACCACATCTGAAGAATGAGACTAATAATATTACCTGCCTCAGAGGATTTTCAAAAGCTTCAATGAGGTCATTTATGTCTAGGGAATTTTTTTAAATGTTATTTTTTATCAGCAGGAACAAATGCCCCTACTGCATCACTAACAAGAGGAGAGAAAGGTAGCATGACCAGGGAACCGAGCACTAGAGCTATAAGCCCAGGAAAATCAGGCAAGTCAGGACTAGTACCTGTGAAACGGGCACAAATATCAAAACTTGTAGGCTGCTGGATAAATGATGGAAATGGCCAAGATTGAAATTTTGGCTTGAATTTCCCAATCTCTCTCTTGAGTAGTACAGCAGTCCACCCTTTGCAGTTTCGCTTTCTGTGGTTTCAGTTACCCATGGGCAACCACGTTCTGAAAATATTAAATGGAAATTTCCAGAAATAAACAATTCATAAGCTTTAAATTGTGCACCATTCTGAGCAGGGTGGTGAAATCCCATTCCCGCCCCACCAGGATGTGAATCATTCCTTAGTTCGTTATAACCACACTGTATATGCTAACACCCTATAAAATGTGATTGTATAGAAATGTCATAGGACACAATTACAACAAATTTAGTTTAAAGATCTCAGTTGGATTTATTTGTGATTCTGGAAATGATCAACACTTCATTGCATGAAATAGAATAAGTGTTCCAATGAGCTGAGCCAAAGAGATTGGTTTTACAGGCAGAAAAATAACTGAAGAAAGCAGAAATGAAGAATAAAAAGTGGATTGGTCATTTCAAAGTTGCTTGTCTTGTAAGGTGGGGATGGGGAGGCAGAACAATTGAAAAATAACTGTTTAAAATCGGGTTACTTGAGGTTAGTTCTTTAGTGTAAGAATTAAAGCAGGGGGAATTTCATTCCCATAGCTATAGATGATTTAAACCGGCCAATTTGGAAAATTGGATGTTATCTCTCACCTGATGTCTCCAAAGGTCAGACCACAACTTAGTTAGGGTTTGGTGACAAGGAACTTTAGCAGGAGTGACTCCATGTTGATTTTAAATCTGGTCTGTTGGATTCCAGTGCACAAGCCTTGTCCAAAACAACAGCCTTCTATAATTTTTATTTAACAGGAAAAAACATAGTATATATAGTGTTTGGTACTATCTGTGGTTTCAGTCATCAATGGAGGTCCAGAACATTTCTCCTGCAGATAAGGAGAACTACAGTACTATATGTTGAAATCACTGCTACTGTGTTTTCAGGTACAACAGGAGAGTCCGTGGGAGCTACCACAGGACCAGGCAGGGGCAGTACAACTGGAGTGTCAGGCACTGGGGCCACCAGTGCTGGAAACCCAGCAGGTTAGACCAAGGCTCCTTTGGGGGCTGTGGTGGGGTCCAACACAAGCTTTGCCAAGACCTCATAGTAGTATAATAAGATTAAGTAAAGGTAACCAAGGACAACATTTTAGGCACTAATGACCTGACCGAAACCAAAAAACATCCTGAAAGAATGTCTTCTTCATAACTATCCATAGACATTAAGCACCATTATTCTTCCAATTAGGAACCACTGGAGGAGCAGGTGGAGCCAGCACTGGAGCTGCTGTTGAAGACACATCTGGAAGAACAGGTACTGAAGGAGCATAACCAGCATGAAATCCAGTTAGTAGACATGTGAGCTTTTTGCTCCAAATTTAATCAGAGACAAGGTTCCCTGAGGATTTCAAACATTATTGTTTATATAATGCCAGATGTCTAGAAGATCAGAAATATACCAATGGATATTTTTTTGTGTTTCTAACATTGTGTTAGATGCCTTGTGGAATACAGAAAAAGAACAGGGCAATATTCCTGTTCTCAATCTACTTCATTTTGGATAGGGAGGAATTAATATTTATATGAATATATGGGACAAAAAATAAGAAGATGGAGTTAAGTGGGAAAAATGTGTATGCTGGAGCATAAGGCATTTCTAGCAAGAGGAGACAAAATAATTCAATGTCACAAAATGAATTATCTACATGAATGTATATTTTATTAAGAAAAATTTTCTTAATTTAATCAATACATTATCAGGGTTATCTGTTTTATCTGAGTTACCTTCAACAAGAGCTTAATATTCCAATGAAATTAGTGAGATTGACACATTCATCTTTTTAAAGAAAAAAAGCAAGCAAATTTCAGGTCACTTTCATAAGAGAATACAAACTTAGTGTTTTTTCTTAAGCTGATTTTTTTTTTCATGATAAAAAATCAGGCACATCTGGGGTATTATCTGGAGCAACCCCTGGAGCTGGAAGTGGCAGTACACCTGAAGAAGCAGGCAACGAAGCCACAGGTTCTGGTAAGATCACTAAGCTCGACATTATGCATCAGCAACTCCCAGCCAACAGCAGGGGATGGGCTCTAAAATCAGGCTGTAACTAGTATTAGAATGAGGGCTTAGAAAAGGTGGAGAGATGGTGTCTTTGACTTGCTTTTTCTGAAAATTCCCAAGTACTCATAGTAATACGGGTAATAACATACATCACACCTTGCCCCGGACACACACCTGTTCTTAGTTTCAGAGACCACAGGGGTTTATGCGGGCTCCACCACTGCCAACCCTGGATCCTCAGCTGTACCAGTCACAACCTTGGAGAGCAGCAAATCAGGTAAGTAAAGGGAGAAATCAATGAATGTGAAGAGGAAAAATGGAACATGTGGGACTGTCTCCATTCCCATTAACTGGCTGCAATTGCAAGAGGTTAGAGTTGGAGAGCCCAATTACTGACCAACAGTATTGCAGTTAGCTATCAGAGGTTTGGATCAGATCATAGTTTTTAAATTTTGTTCAATTGTTAGAATCTCTAAGTGTGCTTATCAGCCATATAGATTCCAAGACTCTTGTCTGGAACTTCGCAGGCTGTGTGTCCAGAGTGAGCTAGGGTCCTGGTTTGCCATCCAGGCTACAAATGAGAATAAACTAGGGAAATTTTCAAAAATACCTACTGAAGAATCCTTCATAGACTAATTTAATCTCTACTGCTGGAAGAAGAGCTCAGGCATAAGTATTTTATGAAAGCCTCACAGTTGGTTTCAATGTGGTGCCTGGGCTGAGGACCATTAAGTTAAAAAATATGAACATTAACCAAGTAAATAATGGACAAGCTTATTTACAATCAACAAGTAAATAAGCACACTCAGGATTCTACCAGTTGTCCAAGATTCTTATGTAAAGGTTTGGAAAAAGTGAATGAGAAATGTGGAAGCTCTGTTTTTTTTTTTGAGCTAAATCTGCAGTGAGTGTTTGGTATTCTGAAACATAAAGTCTATACTGAAGAGAAGAAAAAAGTATAAATAAATATACAAGAAACATTTCAAAAGCAAAGAACAGCCTGATCTGTTCTGCTTGATCAAAGATCTTGATGCATATTTATTATTTATTTTGAAAGGGACACCTGGACCATCAGTGAGTGTAACAATTGGAGCCCTAAGCAGGAAAGTGACACCATCTGAAGGTAAGTCAGGTGAGCAGAGCATGTCATTTAGAGGCCGTGGCTTTTGTCCTAAGGGACAATCTTTCATGAGAACTCTGCTGATTTTACTTGGTATTATTTAATCAAATGTCATCCAAAAAAAAAAAAAAAAGATGTAGAATGGTACATAAGTGACCCACATTTTCAAGAAGATTTAGTTTTCTGGTTTCTCCAAATCTCCCATTCAGAAGTTCTACAGTACTGGGTTGTCACAATAATGTGTATGCTCATTCAATGCTGTGTGTATCAGGTGCAACCAGAGAGTCTGTTGGAACCACCCCTGGAACTGGTGGTGGAGTCCAAGCCAGAATATCTTCCAGTGTTCTATCCCACATGGAACTCAGGAGGCCAGGCCCAGACTCAGCTGGGCACTTTAGTGGTGGTGCATCATGAGTTTAGCTGGGACCCCAAGTTCTTTTAAGTATAAGTGAATTTACCCTACCCAATTTTAGGACAAATGATCATGGGTAGTTTAAGTCCTAATACCCTCCCCCCCCAAAAAAAAACCCTTAAAATGTCTTCAAATAGCAATATTATTGTAACCGTTTACCCTACCCAATTTTAGGACAAATGATCATGGGTAGTTTAAGTCCTAATACCCTCCCCCGCCAAAAAAACCCTTAAAATGTCTTCAAATAGCAATATTATTGTAACCATCTATGTAGACAAGGGTTGATAGAAAAAATACAGGATGCCATTTTTTATGTGATGAATTTTGCATAAATAAGAATTTTTTTTATATAAGTATGTACTGTGTAATAATGGGAACATGGTTACTGTTTATCTGGGATTGAAATTTAACTCTGCTTTCAATACTTTTATTTACTAATTCTGGAAACTATAATGGAAACCGAGCACCACTGTTCTTTTCAATCAGGAACAACTGAGGAAGAAAATGCAGCCACCACTGGAACTCTTGTTGAAAACACTTCTGGAGCATCAGGTATGGAAAGAACATAATCAGAATAAACTCAGATCGTAGAAATGTGATTTCTTTACTTAAGAGACAAGGTTTGCTCGGGAGTTTATTATTATTTTTGTAGTGCTGAAACTGTAGAAGGTCAGAAATATATCAAGAAATATTTGTGTGTATAACACCATATTGGGTGCTATAGATACCACAGGAGAGAAATAAAGTAAGATATATTCTCATGGAAGTTTATTTTTGAGCAGGAGAAATTAATATTTATAATACATGCAAAGGCAAAAACCACGCAAGGCAGAAGATAATCAAAGTTGAGAAATTGTTCAGTGACAAGTGTAGAAGTAGGAACTCGAGAGGCAAGCAATACTAGAAGTTTTATAGTTTCAGGACATATATTTGAATCTTTGTTATGTTTTGAGTAGACACTCAGCATCAGGGAAATGCAAACCAAAACCGTATTGAGATAGCATCTCTCTCCAGTTAGACTGGCTATTATCAAAAAAACAGAGAATAACAAATGCTGATGAGGATGCAGGGAAAGGGGAACCTTCCTACACTGTTGGTGGGACTGTAAATTGGTGCAACTATTAAGGAAAGTGGTATGGAGGTTCTTCAAACAATTACAGATAGAACTTCCATACGATCCAGCAATCCCACTGCTGGGTATACACCCAAAGAAATGGAAATCATCATGTCGAAGGGATACCTGCACTCCCATGTTTATTTCAGCTCTATTTACAATAGCCAAGAGTAGGAACCAATCTAAATGTCCATCACTGGATGACTGGTATATTTACACAATGGAATACTACTCAGCCATAAAAAGAATGAAATACTGCTACTTGCAGCAGCATGGATGAACTTAGAGAAAACTATGTTAAGTAAAATAATCCAGACACAGAAACACCACATGTCATCACTTATACATGGTAGCTAAAAAAATAGAAAAAAAAGATACAACAATCACAATAATACATTGAACTTTCAAAATAAAAGAACAGAAATGAGGTTACCAGAGGTGTGAAACGGGGAGGGGGAGGAGGAAAAGGGGAATTGTTAAAGGGCCATGAAAATCAATTACATTGTATAATGTTGAATATACTAATTATCCTGATTCAAACATCACATATTGCACACAGGTAGTGATATTCAATGCTGTAACCCACAGATATGTACAATCAGCTATGCTCCAGTAAAAAAAAAAAAAAAAGAGGATGTAAAAACAAGGGTCTCAATAAAAAAGAGTAATAAGTGAAAATCAAAACACAGACAAGAAAAGATGCCACTTATAAAAGAAGCTCCCCTTCACTGCACGAACATAAGAGGGAGCCCGGGATCTGAGACCTGGAGAACCACACAAAAGACCCTCTGCCCCCACTGGATCCTCTGCTCTTTGCTGGTCAAGCAAAACCTAATTCAAAAACCGACAAAGACAAACAAACAAAAACATGAAAAAAATTTCAGTATCTATGCACAGCTGTTCCTTTCAAGCTATGTCTTTGTATAAACGTTCAAAAAATTTTCAGCAATAGTGAGTGAATTCTAAAAATCCTGTCATGGAGCCAAGGAACACTAAAAGATAATATGAACATGAATTTAACATAACTAGAGAAACATGTACAGATGCAAAACCGTTCAAAAAATTTTCAGCAATAGTGAGTGAATTCTAAAAATCCTGTCATGGAGCCAAGGAATACTAAAAGATAATATGAACATGAATTTAACATAACTAGAGAAACATGTACAGATGCAAAACACATCAAAACCCACAAATTTGAGCATAGATAACAAGCCTGAGTTCACCCCTGCCCCTCATGCAGTTAACAATTTTAAGAACCTCTTCAGTTTCTTCTCCTCTGCATCACATTTGCCTCTGCTTTTGTTCAGGTGTAAACATTTTCCATCTAATCTGCAGTCATCTACCTAGCTCACCTTCCTCTAACACAGTAGTAGTGCTCAGCGTGTGGTTCCTGATCCAGCAGCATCAGTATCTCCTGGGAACTTGCTAATAAATTATGTAGATTTCTGGGCCTGCTTGCCTAGAATCACGAGCTGCTGGAGTGGAGCCAGTGAGCAGTGTATTAAGTCCTTTGTGCAACTGATGCTTATCGAAGTCGAGAACCACTGCTCTGACACTTTCACTCTTCCCAATTCCCTCCCAATTTCCACCCTAGTCAATAATTCACCAGAATGAACTTGCAAAAACTCAGCTATCATCATGTTACTTCACTACTCAAAATTCTTTGATTGTACTGATTGCATTCAAGATAAATCAAAATTCCTTTTCATATCTTTAAAAGACATTTTTGGGGGTGTGTGCATGAGACTTCGTTTTACCCATTTGTTAACTAGTCCATGGCTTGATTAATTTTTCCTTAGCATTTTTGAAGTTTAAAATTTATTACAAAATACTTCTAAAATAAGATATAAGTAACATAAAAAAGGGTTTGAAGAATATAGTCTCCATACAGCAGTGCAAATTAAGATACTGGTTAATTCCAATTACATCACTAAACTGATTGTAATTTCAGGGTGATGTCAATTGAGTTTATATTTCCTACAATCTGGACCAGAATTGCTTGGGTAATAATGACAAGTCAATCAGCTATCTCTCTCTCTTTCTCTCTCTCTCTAAGAATGAAATACTGCTACTTGCAGCAGCATGGATGAACTTAGAGAAAACTATGTTAAGTAAAATAATCCAGACACAGAAACACCACATGTCATCACTTATACATGGTAGCTAAAAAAATAGAAAAAAAAGATACAACAATCACAATAATACATTGAACTTTCAAAATAAAAGAAAAGAAATGAGGTTACCAGAGGTGCGAAACGGGGAGGGGGAGGAGGGAAAGGGGAATTGTTAAAGGGCCATGAAAATCAATTACATTGTAT